AATGAAATTACTGAGGGGGCTGTTAAAAAATCAGAGGGGGCTATTTTTTTTCTCCACAAAAATGAAAAATACTGGCAATTTAATGAATTGACACATAAAGATTTTCCTTCTCACTGCTCTAGCAAATCTCCTTTGTTTTTATTCTGGATTTACCCCTCTCGTTCTGTTCTTTTCCCTCTGATCTTTAATAATAGATTAGTAGGATAGTTGATAGATAGATGTGCTGCACTTTGTTAACAGACTAACATCATGATTTCTTCAATTTATAAATTGACAGGCTCTGTAATTGTACCATAACCTTTTCTCCTCTATCCCTTAACTCGTCTTCCTATACATATGTACTTACTATCTACTCTAGTCATGTCAGGATTAAAGAAGAATTATTTTCAGGATTGAATGTTCAAACCAAGGCCTAAAACCTGGCATTTCATAAGAAAGTGACTAATATATAAACCAAATGTAATATTGGATAAAATACTACACCAAATGGACTGACACAGATAAAAAATACAAATATAGTCCCCTGGTTTGTCTCTAGAGTCTAACTGCCATGAGAAAAATCAAATCAACGTTCCAAAATTCGCCACTAGATGTTGCTCATTGTACCAATACGGTTTATATAACACATAACATATTATTATTATTATTATTATTATTGTAAAAGGGCTCGCTTTGGCAAAAACCTGATCCATACAGCCAGCCCTAAATAATAACAAGTAACCATCATGTGTGATGCTATCTGTTGTTGTACAGTCTTATTTTTTGTTGATTTCATATTGTTTTCACAGAGCTGTGAACATGAATGTCCCTCTGGGGACAATACATCTAAACTAATTTAATATTCAATCCCACACATGACGATTGAGAACATAAATTCGTAATTTACCTCGTTTACCACATTTGTTGTAATACTACGGATTTAGTTGACACTACTAGCCGAGTTTCTTTTGTCCAATATCTCGCAGGCAGGTACATTGAATTAGAAGTAGAAGAAGAGGAGGAAGAGGAAGAAGGTAGAAGAAGAAATACGCTAACGCTACAAATGGCACAACACTGTTACTCTGTTTTTACTGATATGTAACATTTTATTTCACCTTGCTCTATGTTTTTTAACGCACATTCAAAAACGGGTACATTTTCGGGAGTTTCAACCGGGTACCGGCCACCAAAAACGGGGACTTCGGAAAACGGGGACGTTTTGGTCACCCATCTGACTGTGTTTACAGCTAAGCACACACGCTAACATTAATTAAGACTACAAGCTCACTTGGGGTTGAGGTTTTTTACACGTTGCTTGACTGCCTGCCCACATATCTGATCTAAACATAGTAACGTGTATTGGGGAAGATACTTATTTAAAGTTATTATTTAATAATTGTGACATTTATTGTACTTTTTGATGGATGAATGATGCTCAAGGTGAGGGGGCAAAGAATACAACTGAGGGGGCAATGCCCCCTTTTGCCCCCTCGTGGCGCCGGGCCCGATGTATGGTATTCAGGGCGATATTATCAACCTAGTCTCACCAGAATGCGTGACTCCACCACGACTCCTTAACACCGCAGTGCGTGGTGGAGTCACGATCTTTGCTACATTTACGTGTCTGCACCACGCAAACAACCCCAATGGAAAGTGAATGAGGCTCCTTTGTCGTGGTGCACACATGCATTTCTACAATGTCCAGCAGTGAGCTTTTATTCTATAAAACGTTTTTAAAATCTACTTTATAGCTTGTAGTAACTCACGGAGGCTTCTTTTATTTTATTTGTAGGCTATTCATAATAATTTTTATTTTTCGTCAGAATGTATTATGGTGCATTAGTTACACATTTTTGTTCTCAAAGAACAGTGCATTGTGTGTAATACAACTGTGATTTTTATTAAATTAGTTAGTTTTTAAGGAAGGCCAGAGCTTCAGCTGTGTCAAATAGATTGTTCCCTTTAGTTAACGTTATTTAAAAGATAATTATATTCCTATTTGATCATGTCCCCTTTATTGTATTACGGATTCAATGAGCAATGTGAGCATCCATTCCCATTGGATAACAGAGGATTTTACACCCAGAAGTAAGTATTCTCCTTACTGTCGATTGATTTTACAGTGATATCTGCACTACTCATCAACTCAAAAACACCAGATTATCCTTGTTAATTACACAGCATTGATTGGTTTAAATTGTGTGCAATGCTTTTGTAATTTTCCCCTTTGATTCGGAAAAACAAATATTTGTTCAGAGTTTAGGATGGCCGAAGACACTACACTACCCAGAACGGCCGGCCCTTGACGACCGGAAACGGTGGAAATCCAAACACCATGACGACCTCCTAACCTATATCCTCTTTCTCTGCTTCGATCTCTCAGGCAAAAAGCACTTTCTTTCAAGATAAGATCCAATCTTCCTATTCCAATCCCAAAAAAAACATTTTCCATCTTCTCCACCCTCTTGGACCCCCCCAAAGCCCCTTCCCCCTCCTCCCTTCTGTCAAGCGACTTTGTCAACTACTTTGAAAAAAAGGTTGATGATATTCGCTCTTCTTTTTCTGACTCACCTCTACTCACCGCTGGGTCACCAGACCCACCTTTCACCCACACACTGACCTCCTTCTCCCCTCTCTCTCCAAGTGAGGTTCTTACCCTCATTACCTCTGCCCGTCTTACCACCTGCCCTCTGGACCCTATGCCCTCAAACCTCCTTCAGACTATCGCTCATGATATTCTACCGTTTCTCACCCTTCTCATCAACACTTCTCTAACTTCTGGTCACTTTCCAAACAGTCTCAAGGCTTGAGACTGTTTGGAAAGTGACCAGAAGTTAGAGAAGTGTTGATGAGAAGGGTGAGAAACGGTAGAATATCATGAGCGATAGTCTGAAGGAGGTTTGANGATGACGAGAGCCTGGACCAGAACCTTCAGTGTTTTCTGCGTCAGCTGGGGACGTATCCTCCTGATGTTGTAAAGCGTGTATCTGCAGCATCGGGTTGTAGCAGCGATGTTTGCAGTGAAGGACAGTTTGTTATCTAGGATCACACCCAGATTCCTTGCAGTCTGAGTCGGGGAAACAACAGAGGTGCCGATGTTGATTGTTAGGTCAAGAGTGGGACAATCTTTTCCCGGAAGGAAAAGCAGTTCAGTCTTGTCAAGGTTGAGCTTGAGGTGACCTGGGTCTCTGAGCGGGGAAAGGACAGAATGAATTGGGTGTCGTCAGCGTAGTAGTGGTATGAAAAACCATGCGGGCTAATGACTGATCCGAGCGAGTTTGTGTACAAGGAGAAGAGGAGGGGACCAAGAACAGAGCCCTGAGGGACCCCTGTGGTTAATTGACAAGGGTCGGACTCGGACCCTCTCCAAGTTACCCTGTAGGTACGGTCTTTGAGGAATGAGGTGAGGAGAGAAAGTGCAGAGCTTGAAACTCCAAGTTTTTGGAGAGTGCGAAGGAGGATCTGATGGTTTACCGTGTCGAATGCAGCAGACAGGTCCAAAAGGATGATGACAGAGGAGAGGGATGCTGCTTTGGCAGTGTGCAGTTCCTCAGAGACAGCAAGGAGAGTTTCTGTGGAGTGACCTGCCTTGAAAACAGACTGGTGCAGATCCAGAAGGTTGTTCTGATGGAGATAACAGGAGTTGTTTAAAGACAGCGCGTTCAAGTGTTTTAGACAGGAACGGGAGGAGAGGGACAGGCCTGTAGTTTATAACATCAGACGGGTTGAGAGTGGGTTTCTTTAGGAGAGGGTTTACTCTTGCCTCCTTGAGACTGTTTGGAAAGTGACCAGAAGTTAGAGAAGTGTTGATGAGAAGGGTGAGAAACGGTAGAATATCAGGAGCGATAGTCTGAAGGAGGTTTAAGGGGATAGGGTCCAGAGGACAGGTGGTAGGACGGGCAGAGGTAATGAGGGTAAGAACCTCACTTGGAGAGAGAGGGGAGAAGGAGGTCAGTGTGTGGGTGAAGGGAGGGTCTGGTGACCCAGCGGTGAGTAGAGGTGAGTCAGAAAAAGAAGAGCGAATATCATCAACCTTTTTTCAAAGTAGTTAACAAAGTCGCTTGACATCCCTCTGTGTGTTCCAGACTCCTCTTATTCTCT